TGACGAACTACACTATTTTTTCGAGCAGCAAAACACGAATTTTCTGAGATTTAGCGCTTTTGTCAACTCAATTTGGTCATTTTTTGATATATGAACTTATTATTCAATTGTTTTTGAAGTTTGCAATGTTAGCCACTAATATGTAGTAGAATAGTTATTTTATTCTCCACCCCTTCCCATGTAAACTGTTATAAATTGTTCTTACAAATTCATGCTTTTTTGGTAAATTTCATTCTTTGGATTATTATGAAGCTTTTACTTTTCTGCATAAACTTCTTATGATCGCGCAAGACTTCTTGATTTAAGCATGTGGAAAGTGCACAAAAGTTGCCACGCTTTCTTAGTTCTTTTCTTTTGCGGCATAGCCCCAATATGGTCTCAACCTCAATTTCGAAAAATCAATGTGTTTGGGTTTTCTCTGCACTTCCAGCAAATTACGTTTAACTGCAAATGCAGTCAGTTATTCCACCTGCGTTTTCAAATGATCACAGTACCCTATATGCTCCAAGAACCCACTTTGAAGTGTCTGGTCAGTGATTTATTTCAGATGAGTTAGACTGAATAATTATTTTTAGATCGTTGAGAATGTGATGCGCCACGTTGAGAACGCATTGTCGAAAGAGAGGGAAAAGCAGACTACTTCAGATTCTTCTCGACCACCCGAATCACCAGAGAACGATAAAGAACATAAAGAAAAAGAACGTAAAGATCGCTCACCAGGTACATCCAACAAGAGGCGAAAGGCGACCCGATCGAGCCCGACCTACAGTGACAGCGAGTCGTCGCGTAGCAGCAGAAGTCGAAGGTTGTTGTTAATATCATCATTGTTTTCTTACTGATTATAGAAGATTCTCATTTCCTTTTGTTCCAGTAGGTCACCAAGACGATCACATAGGAAACGCCGACGTACTCCACCAAAAAAGCGCGCAAGAAGTTCCAGCTCATCTAGTCGTGGAACGTACGACGACTTTGAGTGGGTAGCAGTTATCTTTGAGTGAAGTTTTTATTTTGTGATTGACAGTTCCAGTTTTGTCCTACCCGAAGATGAGTGCCCATTCGCTTGCAAAAAGTGTCATCGTGGGTTCTACACCATAAAAGAACTAGCTGAACACGAAATTCGTGCTCATGATATGAAAATTCCTTGTCCTCATTGTGATAAGGTCAGTTTTCTTAACTAGTTAACCGCTAAGAAACAGAACAAAATGTTTATAGGTTGAACTGAAAATATTTACTAAACTACATCGGTTATTGATTTAAAATAAACTGATTCTATATACGACAGTATAGGACTGTAAGATATGAAGCCACTAGCTTCATCCTTCTTCGTAAGATCCTTATAATTGTAGCGCTTAATGAGTAGAATATATTGTGCCTTAGCTATTCCTGTACCTATGCCACGGCTATGTTCGTTTTAAATGGTGGAAGTGCATCATTATAGAACGCTGTTTCTATCACTAAACTGGCTGCTCATATGCTTTTTCGTCATCCCGCTATGGAAGTCCTTTGTCATTATTGCGATCAGAAATTTGGAGGAGCTGCTGAGAAGCTAGATAAAGCGGCTTGGGATGATTTCCGAGGACATGTCTACAAGGTACGAAAAAGAATTTACTTGCTTGAATTGTGATCTTCCTTTGCCTGCTGTAGCTCTTGCCCAAGGAAATTGCTTGATGCAAAAAGAAGAAGAATGATGGTTATCATTTTTTTTTGTTCTTAGGAAATTCTCAAAAAGAAGATGTATGAACATTCTTCGAAGGCGAGTGGTGCATCAAATGATGCAGTAGCACTACGAGGAGTTGGCAGATGTCCACATGGGGCTGCTGTGAAATGCAAGTATGTACTGTTCGAGTAGCAAGTTTCATA